GTGAGAAACCACAGGAAGTGGAGGAAGTTACAGAAATTGTTGAGATTTCTGCTACAGAAGAATCAACAGGTGTGACGACTGACCAGCCTGAAGAGGAAATCATTGAGGTGTCTCATGACACGGTAGTGGTTACCGAAAAACCAGAAGAGTTTGAGGAAGAAGAGGAAGAGGAAGAAGTTCCTCATTTCGAAGAGTCTTTGGAACTAAATATAAATAAACAGAAAGAAGTCGAGTCTCACAAACAAACTGTTACCTTTGATTTCCAGAAACCACAGGAAATTGAGACAGTCACTAAGACATTTGAAATTTCCCAGAAGGCGACATCTGAGATTCAGTTCGAGGTTTCTCCGGACACAACTGTTGACGTTCAGCAGAAAGAGGAACAAGTCGAGACAACGGAACAAACTGCAACCTTTGAACAGACCTTCCAGTTTGATGTTAACAAACAGGAAGTGGAAACGACCCAAAGTCAAACCACTGCTATTTCCTTTGACATTCAGAAACCACAGGAGGCGGAAGTAATCACTGAGGTCGTCGATATCTCCACTGTTGAAGAAACCACAGAGGTGGAAACTGATCAGCCTCAGGAAGACACAATTGAAGAAACGAAAGAGACCATCACTGTTGAGTTTGAGAAACCACAGGAGGTGGAAGAAGTTGAAGAAACCATTGAAGTTTCTGAAACAGAGGAAACTGTGGAGACTGAGACTGACCAACCACAAGAAGAAACTGTGGAAGAAACTCGAGAGACCATCACTGTAGAGGTCGCCAAACCACAGGAGGTTGACCAGGTCAAGGTAACCGTTGACACAACAGTTGTGGAAGAAATTACAGAAGATGAAGTTGATCAGCCCGAAGAAGAAATCATCGAGGAAACTAAAGAAACGATTATTGTAGAAGTGGAAAAACCACAAGAGGTGGAACAAGTTGTGGAGACCGTTGAAACAACAGTTGTGGAAGAAACCACTGAGGTAGAATTTGATCAGCCCGAAGAAGAAATCGTTGAAGAAACCAAAGAAACGATTGTTGTAGAAGAGGAAAAACCACAAGAAGTTGAAGAGACTGAAGAAGATGTTGAAGTGTCCACTTTCCAAGAAGGTATCGAGATTGAGATCAAGAAACCAATAGAGGAAGATACTGAGGTAGTCAAGGAAACCATCACTGTTGAGTTTGAGAAACCACAGGAAGTGGAAGAAGTTGAAGAAACCATTGACTTGTCTGAAACAGAGGAAACTGTGGAGACTGAGACTGATCAACCACAAGAAGAAACTGTGGAAGAAACTCGAGAGACCATCACTGTAGAAGTCGCCAAACCACAGGAGGTTGACCAGGTCGAGGTAACCGTTGACACAACAGTTGTGGAAGAAACCTCTGAGGTTGAAGTTGATCAGCCCAAAGAAGAAATCGTTGAAGAAACCAAAGAAACGATTGTTGTAGAAGAAGAAAAACCACAAGAGGTGGAACAAGTTGTGGAGACCGTTGACACAACAGTTGTGGAAGAAACCACTGAGGTTGAAGTAGATCAGCCCGAAGAAGAAATCGTTGAAGAAACCAAAGAAACGATTGTTGTAGAAGAGGAAAAACCACAAGTAGTTGAAGAGACTGAAGAAGATGTTGAAGTGTCCACTTTCCAAGAAGGTATCGAGATTGAGATCAAGAAACCAACAGAGGAAGATACAGAGGTAGTCAAGGAAACCATCACTGTTGAGTTTGAGAAACCACAGGAAGTGGAGGAAGTTACAGAAATTGTTGAGATTTCTGCTACAGAAGAATCAACAGATGTGACGACTGACCAGCCTGAAGAGGAAATCATTGAGGTGTCTCGTGACACGGTAGTGGTTACTGAGAAACCAGAAGAGTTTGAGGAGGAGGAGGAAGAGGAAGAAGTTCCTCATTTCGAAGAGTCTTTGGAACTGAATATAAATAAACAGAAAGAAGTCGAGTCTCACAAACAAACTGTTACCTTTGAATTCCAGAAACCACAAGAAATTGAGACAGTCACCAAGACATTTGAAATTTCCCAGAAGGCGACATCTGAGATTCAGTTCGATGTTTCCTCTGAAACTACAGAAACAACGTTTGAAGTTCAGCAACAGCCAGAAGAACAAGTCGAGACGACGGAACAAACTGCAACCTTTGAACAGACCTTCCAGTTTGATGTTAACAAACAGGAAGTGGAAACGACCCAAAGTCACACCACTGCTATCTCCTTTGACATTCAGAAACCAAAGGAGGCGGAAGTAATCACTGAGGTCGTAGATATCTCCACTGTTGAAGAAACCACAGAGGTGGAAACTGATCAGCCTCAGGAAGACACAATTGAAGAAACAAAAGAGACCATCACTGTTGAGTTTGAGAAACCACAGGAGGTGGAAGAAGTTGAAGAAACCATTGAAGTGTCTGAAACAGAGGAAACTGTGGAGACTGAGACTGATCAACCACAAGAAGAAATTATCGAGGAGAGCAGAGAAACCATCGTTGTCGAAACGGAAAAACCACAAGAGGTGGAACAAGTCGTGGAAACCGTTGACACAACAGTTGTGGAAGAAACCACTGAGGTTGAGGTTGATCAGCCCGAAGAAGAAATCGTTGAAGAAACCAAAGAAACGATTGTTGTAGAAGAGGAAAAACCACAAGAAGTTGAAGAGACTGAAGAAGATGTTGAAGTGTCCACTTTCCAAGAAGGTATCGAGATTGAGATCAAGAAACCAACAGAGGAAGATATAGAGGTGGTCAAGGAAACCATCACTGTTGAGTTTGAAAAACCACAGGAAGTGGAAGAAGTTGAAGAAACCATTGAAGTGTCTGAAACAGAGGAAACTGTGGAGACTGAGACTGATCAACCACAAGAAGAAATTATCGAGGAGAGCAGAGAAACCATCGTTGTCGAAACGGAAAAACCACAAGAGGTGGAACAAGTCGTGGAAACCGTTGACACAACAGTTGTGGAAGAAACCACTGAGGTTGAATTTGATCAGCCCGAAGAAGAAATCGTTGAAGAAACCAAAGAAACGATTGTTGTAGAAGAGGAAAAACCACAAGAAGTTGAAGAGACTGAAGAAGATGTTGAAGTGTCCACTTTCCAAGAAGGTATCGAGATTGAGATCAAGAAACCAACAGAGGAAGATATAGAGGTGGTCAAGGAAACCATCACTGTTGAGTTTGAAAAACCACAGGAAGTGGAAGAAGTTGAAGAAACCATTGAAGTGTCTGAAACAGAGGAAACTGTGGAGACTGAGACTGACCAACCACAAGAAGAAACTGTGGAAGAAACTCGAGAGACCATCACTGTAGAAGTCGCCAAACCACAGGAGGTTGACCAGGTCGAGGTAACCGTTGACACAACAGTTGTGGAAGAAACCTCTGAGATGAAGTTGATCAGCCCGAAGAAGAAATCATCGAGGAAACTAAAGAAACGATTATTGTAGAAGTGGAAAAACCACAAGAGGTGGAACAAGTTGTGGAGACCGTTGACACAACAGTTGTGGAAGAAACCACTGAGGTTGAAGTTGATCAGCCCGAAGAAGAAATCGTGGAAGAAACCAAAGAAACGATTGTTGTAGAAGTGGAAAAACCACAAGAAGTTGAAGAGACTGAAGAAGATGTTGAGGTCTCCACTTTCCAAGAAGGTATCGAGATTGAGATCAAGAAACCAACAGAGGAAGACACAGAGGTAGTCAAGGAAACCATCACTGTTGAGTTTGAGAAACCACAGGAAGTGGAGGAAGTTACAGAAATTGTTGAGATTTCTGCTACAGAAGAATCAACAGATGTGACGACTGACCAGCCTGAAGAGGAAATCATTGAGGTGTCTCGTGACACGGTAGTGGTTACCGAAAAACCAGAAGAGTTTGAGGAAGAAGAGGAAGAGGAAGAAGTTCCTCATTTCGAAGAGTCTTTGGAACTGAACATAAATAAACAGAAGGAAGTCGAGTCTCACAAACAAACTGTTACCGTTGATTTCCAGAAACCACAAGAAATCGAGACAGTTACCAAAACATTTGAAATCTCTCAGAAGGCGACGTCTGAAATTCAGTTCGATGTTTCCTCTGAAACTACAGAAACAACGTTTGAAGTTCAGCAACAGCCAGAAGAACAAGTCGAGACGACGGAACAAACTGCAACCTTTGAACAGACCTTCCAGTTTGATGTTAACAAACAGGAAGTGGAAACGACCCAAAGTCAAACCACTGCTATTTCCTTTGACATTCAGAAACCACAGGAGGCGGAAGTAATCACTGAGGTCGTAGATATCTCCACTGTTGAAGAAACCACAGAGGTGGAAACTGATCAGCCCCAGGAAGACACAACTGAGGAAACAAAAGAGACCATCACTGTTGACTTTGAGAAACCACAGGAGGTAGAAGAAGTTGAAGAAACCATTGAAGTTTCTGAAACAGAGGAAACTGTGGAGACTGAGACTGACCAACCACAAGAAGAAACTGTGGAAGAAACTCGAGAGACCATCACTGTAGAGGTCGCCAAACCACAGGAGGTTGACCAGGTCGAGGTAACCGTTGACACAACAGTTGTGGAAGAAACCACTGAGGTTGAAGTTGATCAGCCCAAAGAAGAAATCGTTGAAGAAACCAAAGAAACGATTGTTGTAGAAGAAGAAAAACCACAAGAAGTGGAACAAGTTGTGGAGACCGTTGGCACAACAGTTGTGGAAGAAACCACTGAGGTTGAGGTTGATCAGCCCGAAGAAGAAATTGTTGAAGAAACCAAAGAATCGATTGTTGTAGAAGAGGAAAAACCACAAGTAGTTGAAGAGACTGAAGAAGATATTGAGGTGTCCACTTTCCAAGAAGGTATCGAGATTGAGATCAAGAAACCAACAGAGGAAGATACAGAGGTGGTCAAGGAAACCATCACTGTTGAGTTTGAGAAACCTCAAGAAGTGGAAGAAGTTGAAGAAACCATTGAAGTGTCTGAAACAGAGGAAACTGTGGAGACTGAGACTGATCAACCACAAGAAGAAACTGTGGAAGAAACTCGAGAGACCATCACTGTAGAGGTCTCCAAACCACAGGAGGTTGACGAGGTCGAGGTAACAGTTGACACAACAGTTGTGGAAGAAATTACAGAAGATGAAGTTGATCAGCCCGAAGAAGAAATCATCGAGGAAACTAAAGAAACGATTGTTGTAGAGGATGAAAAACCACAAGAGGTGGAACAGGTTGTGGAGACCGTTGACACAACAGTTGTGGAAGAAACCACTGAGGTTGAAGTTGATCAGCCCGAAGAAGAAATCGTTGAAGAAACCAAAGAAACGATTGTTGTAGAAGAGGAAAAACCACAAGAAGTTGAAGAGACTGAAGAAGATGTTGAAGTGTCCACTTTCCAAGAAGGTATCGAGATTGAGATCAAGAAACCAACAGAGGAAGACAC